TATATAGGTCCTGAACTAGCTCTGGGGATACCAAAATCATTGATTCGAAACCAGATTAGGACATGGACCAATAAGAAGCACACAGAGTACTGGCACAGTAGAACCTTCATTAGGGAACCGTCCGAGAAAAGAACCGAAGCATTACTTCAATATAGTAGGGATCGGCTCAGAACAATTACTGTACAACGGAGACCTCAGCTGATAGAAACAGCTCTACACATCTTATGCGAATGTGAGGCACTGAATCACAGGAAGCAGGCAATATATGGACATACGAAATTACGTCCAGAAGACTATGACGAACATCCAAGACGGAACCTGTACAAACTAGTACAGGGAACGAGACTGATGCAATGGGTGCCATGAGAAGATGGTAGAATAAACGCAATAAGCGCAAGAGGCTGCAGTGTTTTCTGAAGACTTGGACTAAATGGACATATTACATTCGTAGCTTGAAATTTAATTTCATTTAGGTGAATAAGAATCAATTTTTATTTCAATCTCTTACCAACTTTTGTAAATTGGGTTGGCATCACTTGGTTTAAAAATGAATGTAGTATGATTTCATTTTTGAATACTTTATTAACCAGTGATTTTGTCGTACTATCTATTGAAGAATCTCTATATTTGATCTGAATGTTTGACATTTGATATACAGAAGTAGTGCAATGCTACATAATGATTTAGAAAGTTCCAAAGATTTGTTATAGATACAATTCGAAGAGATAAGGGGAATAACGGTTCCTTGTGGGACATCATGTTTGATTCTAAAATCAACTGTAGCAATCATATTGAGTATATAAAAAGCAAGCTCAGTAAACACATATTTCTATCAATCATCCAGGCGTCGAGGAGAAGAGGGATCGACAAGACAAGCTGTAGGTGGATAAACTGCATGCTTAGGGGAAGATTGGTATATACAACCATTATGGGGGAAACAGTCCTGGTACGGGTAGCAAGGGGCTGTCCTCAGGGGGGGTTCTATCCCCTCTGTTATGGAACCTTGTAATGGACGAGCTTTTATGTCTCCTGTAGTGACGGGATGCATACAGCAGGTCCTGAATATTATAACAAAATGGACCGAAGAGGAAGGGCTTAACATAAGCCCATCCAAATCGACCATAGCAGCATTCACCAAGAGGACCAAAACGGAGGGTCTCGGGCCTCTAAAACTTCGAGGTGAAGAAATGCAAGTGTCGGAGGAGGTTAAATATCTGGGAGTAATTCTAGATTCCAAACTGACCTGAAACCAACACTTGAACAGGATAAAGAGGAAAGCGGAGGTAGCACTGATGCTCGCCAGTTGCACCTATGGAAAAACATGGGGGCTAAAACCAGACATGGTATATTGGCTATACACGATGGTGGTTAAACCCATGATAAATGAATACTTTATTCACCAGTGATTATGTCGTACTATCTGTTGAATAATCTCTATATTTGATCTGAATATTAGACATTTGATATACAGTAAGTAGTGCAATGCTACATAACAATTTAGAAAGTTCCAAAGATTTGTTATAGACACAATTCGAAGAGGTAAGCGGCATGTTATACAATCAGGTAATATTGTATATTTAGCTGATAAAATATTTTCATTAAATGAATCTAACGCTATGATAATAGTTAACTTTTTCTATTATGAAGAAACAGAGAAGAAATAATAATTGTCCAACCCACCCAGATTCATATCCGACGTTGACGATTATTTTACTTTTCTTTTTACTCAAACCGTTGATTGATTCAACCCCTCATCCCCAGTCTATACAGTTTTTCACTCAATTACTTCGAGTTGGTTATTTCAAATGCTCGGCTAAAATGAAAAACTATTCTAATTACTTCGTGTCCATCGATTATGCCTTCAAAAATATATTGAATCACGTACAATCGGTCTGAACTGCTTTTGTGATGTTTCGGTTCATTTTTTCTCTTCTATGTGTTATATTGTTTGTACTATACAAATAATACAAATAAACATTATTATTATACCGCTTGACGCTATCACGATTGAAAAATGTCTCCTAAGGCCGCGTTTGCAAGAATTGATCAAATTATTGTGTTCCAGAAAACTCTCCGCTTTGTTGTAAATTGCTATTTCGGTTATTTTCGAGACAAGAGTTAAAAACAAATATAACAATCATTTTGAAATGAAGCATTAAAAAACACCTACTACTGGCACTAGGAACAAGACATACCTAAACGCACCGACATTGCCAAGAGGTTCCGAACAAAAAAAACAAACGAGAAAAGGGAACCCAGTCCCCCTATTGATAAAGATTCGCAGGTAACCGTTAAAAGTATGCGGAGCGACCTGTGGACGAGTTCTCAACAAACCGAAAATCTCATCGGCACATCCAATATTCGAGTTCGAAACAAGCATTCATCGCTAGTCCAATTATGCCGCGAGGACGTCCAGAAGTCCAGATTCCGATGCTTCTCCCCCGTTTCGGGATGTCTAATTGCGGCACAGAACTACACACGACACGTGACAGTCCCGCACCACATAAACAAATACACTCGAGAGAAAGAGGATGCTGTGCGTGTGGAAACAAACGAGGGCGAGGAGATGCGTGCCAGACGCCGAACCTGACGTTCACCGACTAAAACTAACCTGGCTGGAACGAGGTGGAGTGCGGCGCACAGCGGGAAAGCGGAAAATTTCGCAAGAGTCCCTTGGTCTGGAATCGGCACGTCCGTGATTTGAGACGATCGTTATAAGAATGGTGATAATAGGGTAGAAAATGGAAAATTTCATGACCGGTGAAAACGAAACTTGGGCAGAGGCGGAGTTTGTCAACAAAGAACTGATAGAAAATCTACTGAAAGACTTTCTGAACGCCCGTTTCTTATATCCTGATCTACTGTCCCCCAAGTTCGTCATTTATGGAATTATAGCGGGTTTATGCAACAATACCTAAGAACTAAACCGATAACAAGTAACTTAGACTCTACCTGGTAAAATTGTCCGGTTTATGCACCAAAATTATTCATTCCTATTGGAGTATATACACAAGTAATTTCATTTCGAGCATTACAAATTATAAAGTCCACTTTTATGCTGTTGATACACAGCTGTATCACTCATTTGCTCCAGAAGATTGGTTTGAGGCTCAAAAAGTTATATCTGAAGATATAAACCGATTAGTAGAGGTATCACATGTGCATAAGTTGAAAATCAACGTACCCAAGTCACGTTTTTTCCATTATTATTGTTACGTTCTCTTCGTGGGTTTTCCAGTAATTGACTACACTGTACAATAATCAAACTGAACTTTATTTCACTTCTAATAACCAAACACTTTAAAAAAAAACTCCAAACTAATATTCAAATGTCTATCGCCTTATTCAAATTCACTCCGCGCCGCACTGTTTGCACAAAAAGCGAGCAAACATACACGAATGCTCGCTTATGCTCGCTCGTGCTCGCTTTTTTTGTGAATACGCACCTTAACTAGAACAATCGCAAAGCGCACGTCGAGTCGAGCGCGATCTTACGTCACAATTGGTTTATGACGACAGCGGCGGCGGACGTTATTTTTTTAGGGGATGNGATCTCACGTCACAATTGGTTTATGACGACAGCGGCGGCGGACGTTATTTTTTTTTAGGGGATGATTTACAACATAATAATAGGTATAAATTTGAAATGATCGTTTTGAAATTCAGCATGCTCCTGCTGCTGAATGAACTAGAAACATCTGCAAGACTTACCTCTATGACTTATTTTGCATAAATGTCTGTTGGATATAACTCAATACAATATCCAGCGTGGTATTAGCCGGAGAAGTAGTTGTTTTTCGGCAGGCATTTACGAGAATCTAACGTTATGAATCCACTTTTCATCAGGCAAGGTTACGCAAAAGCAAAGAAATTTAGACTTCAAAACGTGACAATTTCTGTCAGTCGTTCAAATCGTGGGGCATCCACTATTCGAGCTTTTTCACCTATCAATCAGTATTTTATTAATGTAACATAAACGACGCTACTTTATGTTATATCGCCGTTATTTACAACATAAAGTGGCATCATTTTTCGTTATTAACTAAAGTAATATATCACTGCCAGCTTAATAATTGCAAGTGTAAGGAGCTGAGCATTACTCATATCAAGAATTTTGAAAAGAACCCTGTGGATTTTTCAGACCATCTTTCAAACTAGCGCCGTAGAAGCCATTTTCTCCAAATTCAATACGGCGGCACTTTGATGACATCTATGGAAATATTGCCAAACTACTACAAATTTCAATTCAAACATTTTTATTCAAGAGGATACATCGTCTTTTGTTCCTCACCACATCAAATTGTTTAGCAATATTTCTATTCGTCATGGAACCTTCATTTTAATACGGAGAAAATGGTTCCTGCTCCTACGGCATCATTTTCAAAGGAAATGGTCACCTGTGTTATATCTTTGAAAATAGAATTTTACATTGTATTAGATTGCCTGAAATGAACTAAACCTTTGTTCTTAATTTCAAATGCCAATCCCTAGAAACAACTGAATGGCTCTATGTGCAGGGAACAACTGTCACCCAGTATGTAATGAGAAACAGTTCATACTTGACTATTAAAAGGACATTTGCGAAATAACATCATTTATCTGTAAATTTCTATTACATCATAGGATAGAGTTGATTTAGTTATCAAAAAGTTGTGAAATGTTGACATTTATTTCAATGCAAGTCCAAATAATTGTTATCACATTGATTTTTTAGAAAAAATTCTCCGCAGAAGTTTCGAGTGCAAATTTACTTTTCTTATCGTTCGAAATTTTGAAATGATTTGTACATTTCATTCTCAGGAGAACAAATTCATTTCTAATCTGTAACAAAGTAAACTTGAAAAGGCGTTCTATGTTACAAACGCTCTAACCTTAAAATCACGGCTAACGTGGATTTAAATTTCTCTGACCTACTTCTGATGCACATCACTGAAGTCCCGAGCTTCTTTCTCGAAGGTTCAGAAATGATTGGGAACAATAAGACTTACAATAAGACTTACCACTCTCATTGAGCTCGAAGCTGCTGTCTTTTTCTTCTGCCTGCCTTCTTTCCCGTTCCACTGGAAAGATATGATTATGTAAAGACTTATCTTCATATATAAGAAAAAACTTACTTTGCAGGAACTGAGAATTTTTCTTCAACCGGTTTTGTTCGTTGCTGTCATGTCTCATCCCAATCAACTTCATTATACCCCTATCCTTCTTCGTAATGGGTCCAGGGCAAATATCCTCAAATATTCTGACACACTGCCTATGTAAATTAATAAGGCACACTGGAATTAAAAATAAGTCAGTATTATTCCTTCATCTACAGTAGGTAAATCACTAATCTCTTCAAATCTGTGCTCCCCGTTCTCTCTCTCTCTCTCTCTGCCTCCCCTTTCCCCCCCCTCTTTGCCTCCCTTCCTTTTTAATTCTTTCTCCAACCTTTTCTTACCCTCTCCAACCTTCCCTCATCATCTTCCTCTCTCTCTCTCTCTCTCCCCTTTTCCCCTGCTCTTTGCCACCCTTTCCCTTTCATTCTCCTTCTCTTCATTTCTGTCTCGATCCCTCACAAACCTTTCCATACCATCTCCAACCTTCCCTTATCCTTTTCTTCCCTCTTCGCCTCCCCTTTTCCCTCTCTCTTTGCCTCCCTTTATTTCCCTCTCTCGATCCCTCTTCTATCTTTCTCTCCCTCTCTCCAACCTTCCCTCATCCTCTTCCTTTCTCTCTCTGTCTGCTTGTCTCTTTCATTGTCACTTTTCCTTTCTCTCCCTCTCTCGCTGACTCTCCCTCATCCTCTCTAACCTTCCTTCATTCTTTTCCTATAAAACATTTACTTACCTCTTTTATCTCTCCCTCTCAAACCTTCCATTACCCCCTCATTCTAAAAGTTTCCTTTATTGTCTTTCTCTTCAACCTTCTACCCCTACTCTCTACCTCTCAAACCTACTTTCCTTTACCTTATCCCCCTCAAAGCTTCCCTCATCAGCTGAATCCCCTTCATTTTCATCATAAAGTCCAATCAAATGATATAAATCAAGCATGAACGAGACAAAAATATATCTACAATTTGAGTAGGCCCAGATAGAAATTGTACTAAAACTATGAAAGAAAAATATATCATCGAAGCAATTTCGATGTTTTACCAACAAAGTTGTCATCATCAGGAACTACAGTCATCTCTTGATGATGCAACAGGAGGATTTTCAGTGTTTTGCAGTGTGTGGGAAAAATATTTTCATTTCATTTCAGTACGTGTCCTGGCTTATGACTTATAAGCTCTGCATATAAATTGTTTGAAATAATACTGTATACATATATTTTTCGTGTACCCTTTTCTCTTCCTTTGTCTATTTCACACTCCTTCTCCCTCTGAGTATGTTGATTTTCCCTACCTATATCTCTATCATTTATATTTCTCTCTCTCTCTCTTTAGTAATCTATCCTTCACTGATATAAATATTACTGGAGTTTTTTCCCAACACCAATTCGTTATTTTTAACACCTCGACATGTGTTTCGATCACCAAGTGATCATCTTCAAAGAAGAAGATTAAAACTAGAAACTAATGCGAGCTAACCCTATTTATGCTATAAAGGTAACCCATACAGGTAAAAATATAACTTTAACTTACTGGAACATTGGTAGCCCTGCGGACCGATACCGTACAAAATCTGATGGCAATTATTGCACATTATCACAGTGTAGTATTGTTGTGCGACATACTGATGGCCTTGGACATTAAGCTGAAACAAAAATAGCATTAATTGCAGCTGAGACAATCAAGCAATTATCAAACTTGAAAATCAATTCTGCCTTGATCGTTGGACATCCTTTAGATGAAAAAAATGTTTTCTATGTGTCTGGAACAATCGAAACTGTCCAAAATAAATGTCCGAAATCATTTCAAAAATGGTTTCATCATCATTTATTTGATTTTCTTTGAGGCAGTTTATCTACTGAGGGTTGAAATATTCCACAATATACTTAATGTTGAAACTAGTTGAGAGCTCTACTAATTACTGATAAACAATGCTTTAGTGTTACTATTTTCATTCAGGTTTGAAGTTTTTAAAACCAGCGGGGTGTGAATTATCTCTTACATGCTGACTCATTTTAATTCTAAGATGTAAAATACAAGTGATATAAGGAGTAAAATTATCTTAAAAATGAGAAATCATCTTTCAATACAAGTAACACTATTTTTTTTGTTCTCTCTCAAGAATACTCACCTTTCTGGAGTATCTCCCAATAAACTTCGTCCTGAACGACTTTTCCTTATTAACAAATGTCGGACACCTATCTAAAGCATGCATAACCGGACGGATTTGAAATATCCTCGTGAGCACAGTAGTGAAAGCGGCAGCTGTATAGTAACGCCTTGCATCGAAGCTATCCTTTTCAATTTCTTCCAGATACGGCTCCAACTTTTCCAAGAATAACGATTCGTACAATTTCATTTCTTTGGCTTTGTCGCTGTAAAGTTCGGCCAGAGCTTGGTCTGTGGGTCCATAGATGGTGCCTAGCCCAGCAGTTCTTTTCTGTCGGAAATCAGCCAGCTGATTCGTCAGCTCCTCCTTCGCTTTGTGACGAGCTTTCCAAAAGACCTTACGGAGGATCTCTTCTTTGTCGAATTCCTTGGTGAGGACCTCATCTATTTCACGGGCTATATTTTCATCTACATTGCCTAGCCGGAGTGGCTGAAAAAATAAGGAGGTTGTTTTATTTTCATGGCATAGATGTATTGGACTGTAAAGATAATAGACTACAGAAGACAAACATAACAAATTTGTGTGAAAGCTATTTTCCTAAGAAGAGATATTTCTTAAACAAAAAGGTTGTTCTTGTAGTGCACTGTTTCGAACTTTTGGTGTAGTAATAAATATTACTGGAGTTTTTTTCCAACACCAAACCATTATTTTAACACTTCAAGACGTGGTTCGATCACCAAATGATCATCTTCAAGAGGAAGATGATCACGAGTGATCACCAAGTGATAATCTTCAAGAGGAAGATGATCAACAAGTGATCACCAAGAGGAAGATAATCACCAAGTGATCATCTTCCTCTTGAAGATGATCACTTGGTGATCGAAACATGTGTCGAGATGTTAAAATAACAGTTTGGTGTTGGGAAAAAACTCCAGTAAAAAGGTTGTGTTACTTGAACCCTTTTCTCAAATGAAAGATAGTATTGGAACCTCTGGGGTAGGATAAATCGAAAACGAGCACTTTTCCCAAACACCAGAACTGTATCGCTCTTCTCGACGGGCGTTTCATCAACCAAGTTGGATTCTTTCAATGAAGTGAACTGATTCCTAACTCTAAAACTGATCTTCATTCATATCTGACGGGGTACACTTTCACATTCTGGGACATATCAATGATTTTGGGTAGAAATTAGCTTGAACTTTTATCCTGAAAGTTTCATAAAAAGCTAAACAATGTTTGGAATGGGACCTTTGTCTCTATTTGTAGTTCTCATGCCGCATGCTATTTCCAGGTTTCAGAAAGCATCTTAAAGTCTTGTGTCATGTACCAATCTCAACAGTTTTTCATTTATTCTATAAAATAATCCGTGTAATTTCAAAGCTATTTTGTTACACAGGTGGACTTCGTTCGATAGTCAGTTGAGCAAAATTGTAATTTTGTTCAATAAACCACAATTATTATTATTATTCTATGGCAATTCTCCAAGGTATGTTGAGCAACACTGGTCTGCCACATCGGATATGTGCTGCATGTTCTTTGAAACGAGTTTAAATGGCTCCTTAGTCTGCCCGATATATTTTTTGTGCCAGTACTTACAGGTCATTTCGTATATCTCCAAGTTTTTATTTTCCCAAGACCTTGTTTACAGGGTCACCTGTAAACAACCTGTAACAACCTAACCTAACCTAATCTAACCTAACATTTGTTGAAGTGCCTTGCAGTGAATCTCGTCGGCGGTTTGTCTTTGCAATTGATCACTTTGGAAAGCCTGGTCTATCTTTGATATTCAAAGATTGAGTTCTCTATCGGTCCCATAGGTGGCGTCTTCGCAAGGAAAGATGCACAAACATCTAAGGCTATTTCGGAATTGAAAATTCCATCAGAGAAAGAAGAGGATCCCAATATGATTCTCGACTGGTCTGTGGAAGATGAACTTCTGGATATTTGGGTTACTAAATCTGATACGACCGAGAACCCTAAATTTCCCAATGACTTTGGTGGTCTAATAATCGGCCTTGAAAGTTTACAGAAATCTTTTCATCCTTTATGTGAGAAATTTGTAAATATCTTACCTATGAACCAATAGAATTAAGTAGAAAAGTAGCCATGATGATTTCTTTCTTGTGCCAAACGCTGTTTGAACAACATATCAAGGTTTGCTTGGAAATATTTTCTTAATAATATACTCCATGTATATATTATATCATTGTTAGTGTTATCATTCATTATGTTACGGAAACATATTTGTGGTGATCCAAACAAATAGCTGTTTTGAAATGCAAATCTTTGTGCCGACAACATAGATTATTGACCTCCGCATAGGTGAGTATTCCAAAATCTTCAAAATTCGGCGAGTTGCTAATTTTTGTTTCGCTTCTTTTAAGGTAACAAAAGTTCCAGGTTGGAAGTTCTGTGAGCATTGAAAAATTTGTTTTTTCATTTAGCTAGGAGCTTTGTTAGAGCTGTGTCTATGGCAATCATTCAAAATGAAATTCAACCTATCAAACCCAATAATAGATTCAGAAAATATAAAAATCAGTAAAAAAAGTGATATGGTTTGTTCAATTGTGAAAGTTGAGTTATTTGGTGCGACTGATGAATTGCAAGTAATTGGCTTTTCCAGCGGGAAGCACAAGTAATATTTGATTCCGATTTGAAATTTATTTCATTGTTGAAAAACTAGACTTTTACTATGTCCGTTGATTTGTGAAAGCAGCTGACATGACTTTGTTTATATTTTATCTTCTGGCTTAGTATCTGGACGGTAAACTTCTCTATAATCTCTAGTTTATGCAACAGTTTCCACACTGCTTCGAAAAGGAATCCAGAATTTAAACTTCTCCTCGTTAGATGGCGTCTTCTGTCTAATTATTCATCATAAATTAGGGTAGTACTTTCGGCCTTGAAAGTTTACAGAAATCTTTTCATCCTTTATGTGAGAAATTTGTAAATATCTTACCTATGAACCAATAGAAATAAGTAGAAAAGTAGCCATGATGATTTCTTTCTTGTGCCGAACGCTGTTTGAACAGCATATCAAGGTTTGCTTATTCTGTGGTTGAAACATTTTTTTAATAATATACTTGATGTATATATTATATCATTGTTAGTGTTATCATTCATTATGTTATGGAAACATATTTGTGGTGATCCAAACAAATAGCTGTTTTGAAATGCAAATCTTTGTGCCGACAACATAGATTATTGACCTCCGCATAGGTGAGTATTCCAAAATCTTCAAAATTCGGCGAGTTGCTAATTTTTGTTTCGCTTCTTTTAAGGTAACAAAAGTTCCAGGATGGAAATTCTTTGAGCATTAAAAAATTTGTTTTTTCATTTAGCTACGAGCTTTGTTAGAGCTGTGTCTATGGCAGCCATTTTGATGTAGAATTTCATGTGACGCCAACGCCCCGAAAAGCGAATCAGTTACCCTGTTCAAGTTGTCTCGCTAGTTTGTACCTGGATATAAGGATTTGCACCTCTCTCTCTCCTTCATGATTGGGTCAGGACGACAGGAATGGAACCCATCTTTGATGTTTTTTTTAACTAATCCTGAGAATCGTCTTACCAATCACTGGTTATCAAGGGCCGATATAGTGGAAGAAAGCTATCAATTTTTCGTCGGAACTTTATTTTTTCTAGCCAGGAAAGTATAATAACTTCAAACTGTAACAATTTTACCTAATTATAAGTATATAGCCTAACTGAACCTTTTTCAAATTCTTAACAATTTACTTGTTTGTAAAGTCCTCGTACAGCACTATTTCTACTGGGGTCAGGTATGAATGGGGTCTGGTAAAAAAATATCTCAGCGATTCGGTTTTCATCTTCTCAATCATCACAAAACACCGTCTTTTCATAAGTCTCTTCAACGTAGGAAACAAAAAAAAGTGGCAGGGGTCCAAATCTGGTGAATATGGTGGCTGAAGCATAATTACGTTGTTGTTTTTGGACAAAAAATTACGAAGAAGCAATGGGGGGGCTTTTGCATTACAATGATGCAAAAACCATTAATTGTTTTTCCACAATATCACGATAATCGAAGAAAACAGTGAGCAAAACCTTGACATTTAATCAAACTTGCCATGCTTTTTTGGTTTTGGCTTCCATTAGGACAATTGAACTCTGGTTTCGATATCATAACTATATCCCCATGATTCTTCACCAGTTATGACCCTTTCAAGCAAATCTTTATCACCGTTGACGGTTTTTTGAGTAAAAATTCAGCAATTTTAGAATTAATTTGGCTGCCACAAGCTTCATGCCTAAAACTTATGAAAAAATTAAATGGCATGAGCCAACCAATATGCTGACATCCTCAGCAACTTATCTAATAGTGTTTCGACGATTCTCCATAACAATTTTCTTCCCTTTCTCAACATTTTCACATCTTCTCGGCCTTCTGTGAAAAGCTCGAACCACTTGTTAACATTTTTCTGACTCAGAGAACAATCACCGTATGCCACTGTCAATATTTAAAGAGTTGTTGAGCAATTAGTTCCATTTTTCACACAAAATTTGATGCAAATTCTTTGATCCATTTATTCGATAGCAAATAATCGCCGAACACGGAAAAAACACTACTTACTTTTATGACTCTCACCAAAAAGACGATTGTACCAACATAAAATAATTTTAAAAAACGCAAGTCGAATGAACATATCCCACGAAATTTTAACATTCGCCTCATACATCAGCTCTGTATCTTGTAGTGTAACTAAAAAAGGAAGAAAGCGGGACAGAAAGCTCTCTAAAGATGTAAAAAGAATTTATGGAATGGTTTTCAATTTTGTTATTACTGGGCTACTTTAAATATATTTGGTTTATTCAAAACTGTAGCATTTGATATCAGTTTGGAAGAGTGGCATCAAATGCTCTCCTAAACCATTAAACAATGAAATTAATTTTCAAATTGGATTAAAAGAAAGGGTCTTGAAAACACCAAAACCTTTCAATATCAATAATATCAATAGTTCTATATTGTGAGATAATTTGTGAAGCAAAATAAAACTTACAGCTCCAGGTACCAAAAAGCACGAATGAATTTCAAATGCCCACTTTCGCATCTCTTTGGCATTTCCTTCTTTATACAGATCTGTTAGAAGATAAAACATCAAGCTGTTTGGATCGGAATTCGACAATATGTAATTCGTGAAGACTGCCAGATGGGGGGGATGTTCCATCAGTTTGGAGAAAGACTGGAAATGTCCATGATCTTCCATTTGACTCTAAAAAATATTGTGAGTAAACTTTACTAGTAGAATTTAGAACCTCTATTGAAAAACTTTTTCTTCGCCATAACAAAAATACTGTCGTCTCTCGACACGCTTTTCGCTAACCAAGTTGTCATCATCAGGACATGTAAGATGTCTCACATCTCCTGATGATGCTAATTTGGTTGGTAAAACGCGGGTCAAGGAAATTAAAGTTTTCTTCTGGTGAGGAAGAAGTGTTTTTAATAGATTGGGGGGTAGATTTTGAGGAATTGACAGTACGAAAAATAATATAACTTACAAATTCTGTGTCAGACATTTCGTCATCCTCCATGCTCATGATGGGTTGCTGGGTGGTATGGGGGGTAGCTGCGTGTATTGGGGAATTGTTGGTCACCAAACGGGAAGCTCCAGTAACTCCACATACAGAACTGTTATCAATAGAATCTACAAATGGCTGAAAAGAAAAATTAACTTTTTGAAACTGATCAGTTATGATACTGAGGGAAAATTTGTTACTAAAAACAAACACGTCAAAACTAACAGAGAAATAAAACAGTGTTTTGTACCAAAACTTCAAAAGCAACCCCCAATTTCAAATCATTTTAAAAAGCACTTCTGAATTTTTTTGCTGTTCTCAAAAGTGCTATTTCAGAAACGGTCAGACATAGAAGATCGGTTAAATTGGACAAAAGTTTACTATTTTGAGGAACTGAAACAATCTCTTCTCAGAATGAGAATATTCGCCAAATCTAGAATTGTCGAATTTTGTTTTTTGACTCTTCCACCTCCATTTCAAATGATATAAAAAAAGGCAAAGGAACGTTCAATACTGTTTCATTTTTGTTATATTTCATAAACTTTATTCAAATATGNACTAACATTTTGGGTTAATACAATTAAATTTGTTATGGTGGATCTGTTTGACATAAATCCATGTTGTTGCGGGAATGAACGCGATTATAGACGACAATTTCGAGAAATTTAGCAAAGTTCGATAAGATTGAGATAGGACGATAATTCCGAATATCAGATGGATCTCCAGACTTAAAAATGGGACAAACTCGTGATATCTTCCATAATTCAGGAAAATTATTATTTTTAACTGTAAGATTGAAAAGTGTCAGTAAGGGATAGACCAATACACCGATGCAATCTTTTATCAAAAAGGATGGTATCTTATGAGGACCAGAAGCGAACTTATTTTTTAGTTTACGTGCCGCAATCAATCAAAGTTTGTAGCCACTAAACAATGTAGATAGGTAAATTTCATGTTCTTTCGATATGTTAGGTTTATACATAGCTTTGAGATCCAGACCCGAATTTTTGAGGTAGCTCTGATACGGAATTGTATGACCATACAGTGACGTTTACGTTTGATTGTAAGTGTTTTTATCAGGTTTTTTGAAGCTCCATATCATAATAAATATATTTTCTATTGGTTCGTGGTATACCAATCGATAGAGAATTTTGTACTATATACATTGAAGCTGTTTGTTTTTTCCCAAATTTAATTTTTTTTCTTTTTTCAGCTCATATGATGTTGTTGAGCAATTTTTGGCCAATTTGTCTCTATGAGGTGAAATTGAACCAAAGAGCTGCCGAATCAGCCCGAAAAATTAACCAGGCATTTGGGAATGATAGTGTTAATGGATGCACTGCTCGACGTTGGTTTAGCCTCGGAGACAAACCCCGAAGTGGTCGACCTACATTAATCCAGGACGAGGATTTGGAGACTCCATAGACCCCAATGGAAACTGGGCGTCAGCTCCAATGAGGTTTTTGATGGTTTAAAACATATCAGAAAGGCCAAAAGTTTGAAAAGTGAGTACACCACTATTTGAACGATCGACAGAAATTTTCACGTTTGCTTTTGCGCAACCAAAACGATCTTATTTTGAATGCGATCGTCACCTGTGATGAAAAATGGATCCTCAAAAACCCACCAAAAATGAAACAAGTTGAGCTTCAGAACCGACTACTATATTTTCAAGCACTTGGATAACTTTCTCACTGGCAGAACCTTCTCCAATCAGAACAAGGCCAAAACGGCCTTCGTCAACTTCATCGAATTCCGAGCACACAATTTTCATGTTGACAAAATTAATCGACTCGTGTCACATTGACAAAAGTGCACTGATTCAAATGGCGATTATTTCTATTAAATTGAAAAAGTTTTTACTGAGATATTACAGTTTAAAGTATACTCATAAAAATGGACAAAACTTTTGAAACAACCTAAAACTTATTCATTTATTTATATAAGTTTGGGGCAAGCCCCAGATCACATCTGCACGTATTCACAATAAAAACAAGAAAAATAATATATCAATATTTCAGATATATCAACATCTAACAAAAAAATATCTATATGTTTATTCGGTCTATAAAATATTGATTTCTTGTGTATTTCAATATTCAAGACGACCGTCTCATTGAGACCAATGTCAATGTCCTTATTCTTTCGAGAAAAAATCACCAGTTTCAAACAGCAAATGAAGGGTGAGTACAATGAAATTGAATTCGGATAAAATTCTTGTATAATTTTTGAAATGCGCTCCTCGCTTTTTGCATGTCTTCACCATTGAAAAATAATGAGTTTCCTGAAGTTTATTTCATAATACCAAAATATCAATTCAAAAAATAACAAATACTTTGCATTACTTTATTCAAAATTGAAGCATTTTCTTCCAGTTGGAGTTTCAGAAAAAAAAATGTTGTACCTTCAAAATTATTTTGAATAATACAATAAAACTCAATTGAAGAAATTCAAAACTTGAAAAAAACACAAAGTTTCAATAACTCTTATTCAAAATAAGCTCTGCCCAATGATTAACTAACAACACAGGTAACAATAAATCTAAATCCGAATGCCTCTATGTCAACGTCGGTGTTCCCCAAGGATCCATATTGGGCCTCATTTTATTACTTTTGTATAAATGAAATTGACCCGTTAACCACGGATGATACTTTCATACTGATATGCAATAATATTGATCAAGTGATCACAAGAAATTGAGGAAAAACTTTTGAAATAGTATAATTTATTCATCAATGAAAGACATTATACATACACACGTGTATAAAACTTATCAGATTAGTCAAAAAAAGAAGGAAATCTACAAATAAATTGTTAAGAAAGTGTAGTCACAATAACAAGGCAAAAAAATGTATACATACAATAGTCAAGTTTCACAATAGTAAGTTATCAGGAAATATAAAATTCCTCAACATTATAAAATACTTTTTCAAAAAGGAAATTTTTCAATTCAGTTTTGAATAGAATACATTTCAGATTCACATCCATTATATCTCTTATTTCATTGAAACATTTCATACCAAATTGCTTTGGTGTATTTTTAGACTGAAGACCTTGCATATAAGGTTGTCAAAACCTATATACAAACATGGAAAGGTAAGTATTTAGAGTTTCTTGAGTGAAGGTTTACATTTTGTCGTTGGAATAACATGAGATACAAATGCCCTTTCAAAGTGACAAGAGGACCCACAAAAGATCACGCCATTTGCAGAGTAGACTAAACCATCCCAAAATATAATAATTTCAGAATGTTTTCTGATACAGTAACTCGCAGATTTTTTATTATATAGTATGTAGTGCTCAGTTTGAACACAGTGTTTATGTTAACTTACTATTCAAAGTAATACCTAAGGAGTTGATGGTTTCTGTAGACTGTATAGATTTATCAGATATGTTCAAGTATAGGTGATAATTTTAATTAGTTTTTTGGCAAAACAAAGGACAATTCGTATTTTTTATATCTAGGATAAGGCCATTTTCAAGGCTCCTTCTTTCTATTTCATTAGATGCTTGGTTGCCTAATTTTGTTAATTAATCAATGTTGTTGTGTGACATCAGAAAATTAGTGTCATCACCATATGTCATCAATGTCACTCAGAAAGGCTATGAACCAATATTGAGCTCTGTGGAACCCTTGTAATTATTATTCTTGAATCTGGATTCACATTATTCACTACTTTTATTCATGTTCTGTTAATTAAGTTTGATGTCACCAATTGAAGTAGAACAAGCCTAACTCCTAACCCTTCCAATTTCATGATTAACACATTATGATCAATAATATCAAAAGTATGACTTAAGTCATAGATGAGTGCTAGAACAGTATTTCTATCATTCAGTGCACTGTAGGTAAACTCTGGGCAACCAGAAATTGCCAGGCAGGTTGATTTGTGTTTATGGAAACCATTCCTGATTTGCTGGCAGGAGCTCAAAGTGTTTCAAGTACCTGATTAATCTATCACAAATAGTTTAATCGAATATTCAAGTGATTTGACTCTGTAAGAGAGGGGACCCAAAAAAAAAAAAGGGAATTACGTTGTGGTGGGGAGGGAGAGTGGGGGAACCTATTGTTTGACCACATGTCCGTTACTGTCACGCTACCTGCGTCAGTATGCAAAGTTGTGTCGCTGTGAGTGGATCGGTTCGCCTGTGAGATTTTTTTTTAGTAAAACAACTTTTTACATTTCAGCGAAAACGTTATGGCAGATTGTCGGAAACTATTGTAATGCTTATGTGGATGCTGCCTTAAGTAAAACCTGAGTTTACAATTAGTTTTCACGTTTTAAAAATGTAGAAATGGCTATTGAAAACCAACTTCGCTCAGGGCACCCCTCAACGTGAAGAACTGATGAAAACATCGTGTTGTGCACGCGGAGTTCGTTGCCCCTCGTCAAACTATCAACCAGAAGTTCTACTTGGAGGTTTTGAAAAGATTGACATCATGACAACGCGTCGGCCCGCACCGCCCTTTCAGTGAAGCAATTTTTGACCATGACACCGATTGTCCACCCCCCATACTCACCGGATCTAGTCCCCTGTGACTTTTTTTTGTTTCCTAGACTCGAAAGGAATATGAAAGGAAAGCGTTTTGCCACTGTGGAGGAGGTGAAACAAAAATCGCTGGAAGGCTTGAAGGACACCCCAATGAGTGAATTTAAAAACTGTTTTGAACAATGGAAGAATCGTTTGGAGAAGTGCGTTGTGGTCAATGGCGAATACTTTGAAGGTGATCAAAATTTGGTGTTAAAATACTGAGAAATGAAGAAGTTATGACAAAATTTCGGTTATTTTCTGGGTCCCCCCTCTTATGTTATGTATGTCCCAAAAAGTATTGTCTGGCATTATTTACTGTTCGGATTCAATTGCAAGTATCACTCTGAAAACTCCTGCTCGAAATACTCACAATGCCGAGATATTTGCAGTCCCTTTTTGCTCCGCAAATTACTTGCGTTTATCCCCACTCAGTAGAATGAAAATAAGAGGAAACTAATTGTTCCAAAAGATCGATCTATTCAACAGATACATATAACATCAGAAGGCTTTTCAATGATATTATTTTTTAAGAAACTCGTATCAGTTCAGAACTTAATAGCTCTGTATTTCTGTGTCATGTATTTACTTTGCTATTTTTCTTATAATGTTGTGAACTGGTTTTCCCGTTTGGATGAATAAACGAATAAAGTCCTTTGGCCTACTGATTTATTATTTTTTTTTAATATCTCACCTCTTCTAATGTACTATCACCGTCATAATTAACCGAAATTCCATCTCTTCTCAATGCCCTGGGGCTGGGGTAGGGTGGCGGAGGAGTTCCAGGGGGAGTTTCCCATTCTTCCCTTCGGCTCAAATCATCCATACTTTCTGAAAGTTTCCGGGTGCTTCCATTTCCCTCCAAAGTCATTAGAGTTTCTGGGCTTGATTTGGTCCTATGATGAGTTGGATTCGGAGACTGAAATAATTCAGATTTTGTAAAAAAACAGTCTGGATCATTACAACACTGTAGAATTATTGAGAAATGTATTTGGTGAACACTGTTGGGCTGATGGTTTAAACTTTTAAAATCGACAGAAGAGACAATAGAGATAAAACAGAGGTATTCTTTTTTTGTAATTTACACCAAGAGAGTAATTTTACACGAGGGCTTTACAGTAGTTCAATGGATGTGTTATTTACCAAAAAAAATATGAAGAGATATAAAGTTTATCTGGAGATATTTTCTATTCAGACTTTTAACGAAAAAGCATGCCATTACTGCTCAAAATGATTTAGTTGTAACTATATTAGAAAAGCATGACCCAATTTCCTTCATCTTAGTACCTCCGTCCATAGAAAAAGGAAGCAGTTTCACAAAAATGTGTTCAATAACTATCTAAGTGGCAAGCACGAAAATTGCTTCTGTAAACGTCGTTGATTTACCTCCAATACTTTGCAAAACATATACCTTGATTGAAACACTATTCACGACATTCCACTAGGTTGTTTCAAAAGTTTTTTTCTTTTTGTAGCTCCGTATCTCAATAGATATTTATTCTGCCAACCGATCACAACCTATTCAAGCACTTATGATAACTTTCTCACCAGTAGAACCTTCGCCAATCAAGACCAGGCAAAAATGACCCCCATCAACTTCATCGAAACCCGTGCACACAATTTTTATGCTGACGCAATTAATCGATTTGTGTTGTTACGTTGACAAAAGTAGACCGATTCTAAAGGCGCTTATTAGATTGAATTGATTAAGTATTCACTGAGATATTACAATTCAAAGTAGACTCATAAGAAGGGGCAAAACTTTTGAAACAACCTAATATATTGAATATAAATATTGCTTTGTAATTTATGAGAGTGTATTTTTATACCACTGCAATACTATTAACTTGTGCAAGAAAGAAAATGAAAACTAAATAAAACTTCTTCCTTTAGGTCCATATTGATAATAATACAGGCTCTTATAGCATATATTGAAAAATAACCCATATTGATGTTAATCCAGGCTCTTATGGCCCATATTGATGTCAACACAGGTTATCATGACCCATATCAATATTAATACAGGCTATTATGGGCCATATTGATAATACAGACTCTTATGGCACATACTGAAGTTGATGCAGGCTCTTATTACCCATATTGATGTTAATACAGGCTCTTATGGGCAATATTGATGTTAACACATACTATTAATACAGGCTATTATGAGCTATATTGATATTGATACAGGCTCTTATGATCCATATTGATAATAATACAGGCTCTTATAGCATATATTGAAAAATAACCCGTATTGATGTTAATCCAGGATCTTATGGCTCATATTGATGTCAACCCAGGTTATCATGGCCCATATTGATGTCAACCCAGGTTTTCATGACCCATATCAATATTAATACAGACTATTATGGGCCATATTGATAATACAGACTATCTGGTCCATATTATGGCACATATTGAAGTTGATGCAGGATCTTATTACCTATATTGATGTTAATACAGGATCTTATGGGCAATATTGATATTAATACAGGCTCTTATGATCCATATTGATAATACAGACTCTTATAGCATATATTGAAAAATAACCCATATTGATGTTAATCCTGGTTCTTATGGCCCATATTGATGTCAACACAGGTTATCATGACCCATATCAATATTATTACAGGCTATTATGGGCCATATTGATAATAATACAGGCTCTTATGGCACATACTGAAATTGACTGAGGCTCTTATTACCCATATTGATGTTAATACAGGCTCTTATGGGCAATATTGATGTCAACATAGGTTATCATGACTCATATCAATATTAATACAGGCTATTATGGGCCATATTGGTAATAAGTTAACGCATACTATTAATACAGGCTATTATGGGCTATAGTGATATTAATACAGGCTCTTATGAACCATATTGATAATAATACAGGCTCTTATGAACCATATTGATAATAATACAGGCTCTTATAGCATATATTGAAAAATAATCCATATTGATGTTAATCCAGGTTCTTATGGCCCATATTGATGTCATCACAGGTTATCATGACCCATGCTTATACAGGCTATTATGGGCCATATTGATAAAACAGACTCTTATGGTCCATATTGATAATAATACAGGCTCTTATGGCACATACTGAAATTGATGCAGACTCTTATAACCCATATTGATGTTAATACAGACTCTTATGGGCAATATTGATGTTAACGCATACTATTAATACAGGCTATTATGGGCTATATTGATATTAATACAGGCTCTTATGGTCCATATTGATAATAATACAGGCTCTTATAGCACATACTGATACAGGCTCTTATGATTCATAGTGATATTAATAAAGGCTCTCATGACCCATACTGATATCAACACAGGCTCTTATGGCCCATATTGATATTAATACATATGTGGCATACTCTCATCGCTTAACATAACCAAAAACATGTGAACGAACGATTCCTTCGACAAATAAAGCAAAGCACATCAGCAGCATTCCCGCGGCGGCACTGTACAAAAGATCTGGTGATATGATGTTAATGAATGCACACAACAGGTGGGGAAAAACATCAAGAAAAAAGAAACTTACGGGGTTACTTACACAGTTGTTAACTAACGTAGCGCACGTGGCCACTAACGGGTAGGCCATTTGTTTATTAATCGAGTTGGCTGCGTCCGGGTCCACTCGCAGCGGCAGGGGGGCCGAATGGGAGGCTCTGGGCGGTAAAGGAGGGGGCTGATCGGGAGAATCCATCACCAACGACCCCAAGGGAGGCTTCGGCTTGTGTCGCTGAGGAGTAGACGCCGAAGCCTCCGCTAGGTTAGCGTTAATCTCGTTATTTAGGAAATTATTAACGTCCAGAGGCACTTTCCCGTTGACGTACGGCAAGGCACTTTTGGTGTTCATCGTACGGCGATTGGTCGAGTGATTGTTTCGTTTCGGTAAAGGAGGAGGCACATCGGTGTTTCCGTTTGGTGAAGAAGGAGTACAGGTCGAATTGTATTTCAGGGGAGACGGGGGAGACGAGAAACAGGGAGAGGAAACTGTGGACGGTGATTGTTGCTGTAAGAGATAGACAGTAAAGCGATGTTAGTTGTTTGTGTTTACATTGCAAAGGCATGGGACAACCGAGTGTTCTTTGGGAGGAAGAAACCTGGAGAAAAATAATTGACGTAATAAATAAAGTTTTTGCGTGAAATTATCATTTTTCCAACTACTTTCTTTTGGGTTGAAACAGTATAAATAAAACTGGAAACGGGTGGTAAAGAAAGTATAACTTCAAGTCATATCAACATAATTGCAAACATTTTAGACATATTCATCTAGTACACATTTAAATAACACCAAAGTTCAAAAGCCATTTGGCTTTTGAACAACCTGTCCAATCACTTCAAATATACACGGTAAAGATCCACGAAAATAGTCTTCATTAGATATTATGCGCTTCTACCAGCGCTACTTTCAATTCACGAAAGATTTCCAACACTCGTTCTTTGGGATAGTCTTTAGCTCTTTCAGCTTTAATGTCATATTTGCTTGTAAAACGACGGTCCTTCAAGGTTCTCTTCATTGTTACGGTTTTACCCGTAGGCTCACCAATAATTTACTACACTGAATAATCAAACTTAACTTTATTTCACTTTAAATACAACAAACACTTCAACTAAACTTCAACTATTATTTGAATGTCTATCGCCTTACTAGATCACTTCGCGTACCGCCCTGTTACGTCCACTTCACTGTGTACTTGACTGTCCGAATACGCTTGCAGCCAGTGTTTAAATATCGCAATAGAATAGAATAGAATTTCGCCGAAGTTCTCGGTAGCATGTTTCTTGCTCTTTCACGAGCGGCAGGTAACACTAGATAGTCCCACGCTCTCAGCTACGTCACGTTTGGTTTATGGTTACCAGTGGCGGCCGGCGTTATTTCCTCTCGGGCATGATTAACGCCATTATGTTTGGAAATAGGAAAGAGTCACACAGAGCCATGTCTGGCAAATGTGGGGGCTGGGACATCGTTACAGAATTATTGTTTTTGGCCAAAAATTCACGAACAATCAATGAAGTGTGAGCAGGTGCATTATCGTGGTTCAAAAGTCAGCAACTATCTTTCCACAAATCCGGGCGTTTCCCAGATTCAAATTAAAACTTTCACGTGAAAATCCCTGATTTGAAATATTCAGTACTCCGCCTGAAAACATACTTTTCTCTGGAAATATCCAGGACTATTAAAAGACTCTTGTTTATTGTTCGATAAATTATACTTCTGTGTATTTCTATCGATTTATTTTCTTTTTCTTCAACATTAGTTATTACAAATAATCTTTTATAATCCTACATCATACACAATTCTTCTTCTTCTTCTTTGCTTCCTATAAGGTGCAATAGACCAAGGTACTGCATACTCTTCTTCTTCTATTTTCAACATATCTTAACCTGTATTTCATCAGTTCGGACTTCCATTGTTTAATATAAAATAAACTGATTTGAAATCCCTGAGCACTCAACAAAGACAACCTTGACATAAAAATAATTTGCCAAATTTGTCTCAATGAGATCCTTCATAAAGGACCGCCACACATTTTCACACTGACCCATTTGAAAATATTGAATTTTGATATAACCAACTCAGATTTCTTTTAAAACATAACGGACCTAAACAAAAATCTTTTTACACAGACTGATTCCAAGCACAAACAAATTTTTTTCTCCAGGTTAGTCTTCTTCCAACTGAACACAACCGATTAGTGTCGTGATTTATTAATATATTAGTCATTTTAGCGAACCTTTCATAATCTCCGTTCTATTTACAAAACTGTATTTACAGCTGTGCCACTCGGTTGTCTCAAGTGAAAAATTAGACAGTCACCATAACGAGTGCCACCACTTCAGCTCGACCAATGAAATATACAAGAGGATCGGGCTTTTTGATTTGATCTTGGACCCGCAACCACTCTCTCAAAATAACAAAGCCGACCATTCAACACCTGCATACAGACAGACGGACTACTACTGCACTGCACAGTCGCTTTACTTTGAACAATCTGATTACATACCTCGCTTTGCGTCCGCAGTAACATTCCTTGCAACGTTTGGAGGTTTTTTTCTGTTTTGGCGAGTTCCTTGCACTTCTTCTCGTCCGGCGAGGATGCGATTTGACTTCGAAGAAGATCGACGTAGTGCTGCTCTTTCTCTATCATCAATTTGTAGTACTGTTCTTTCTCTAGCTGGAGTTGATACTGTTTCTCATTCTGAAACACGAGAACGCGGATGTTGATTGTGCTTATCGCAAATAATGTTGAACCTGTCTATGCGCTGAATCATTAGTAGTTATAATTATAAGGATTACCAACAAACGAGATGAGTAATAATAACTTTATTCCATCACAATAAATTGAGCAGGAGCTATATCTCCCTTATCCAAAATGACAGCTGTAAAACTATTGGGGAAAACCACGACGTCGGCGACATCTATTTATTGTAATTCGAACGTTAAACGTAAGGAAAACATTGGTTGTTGCCACAAGAAATTGTCACAAACTCTTTCAAATCTTAGTCAAATCTTAGATTAGTAGCCAGTTCGATAACTACACGGGGTCTGTCATTAATTTCAGGTGGTAATTACTTATCATATTTTATGAAAAAAGTTCATAGGAAAGTGTGTCCAAACTTGCTTTGTTTCCCAGTAACGGGGTGGCAAAGTTTCACTAAAAATATTGTTCTTTTATCAATAAATCAAAAGTCTTTTCGCCGATTTCAATGAAACTAGCTGTGTTTGTTATCAGTAACAAGGAGATTCTTTTCATGAAATGAGATAACGGATAATAATTCCAGTGGCGTCACAGAAGGTAACCTGATTGATTCTGTAACATATTCAAAATCTTCCCGTGCAAAGTTACCTGTTTTGTATCCGCGGCAAGCGTTTTACTCACACAATAAATAAACTAGATCGAGCAATTGAATGAATTAGTTGTTTATTTTTAGTGCATTTTTATAAAAGGTTATATTAGAGAGCTAAAAACATGGAATCGAATGACGTATTCATATACTGGGTGAGCAGTTCGAAAAATTGTTTCCTCTAAAAACAATGAACCGAGGGAATCTTTTTGGCACACCCTGTATGTTGAACGATAGCAATTTACTTGTATTTATACAAATAGATTTGGAGTTAGAAAAAACAACCAGTAGAAGGTGATGTGGTTAAGGCAAACACTCATATTTAGGTTTGACGTGGGGGGGGATAGTTGATGAGACCTAAGGGGGCNGGTTAGGTGAGGTAGTGAGTGGTTTTGCAAATCGATTTTTGAAAACTTATTCTAGAGATCAATTACCCTAACACCACTCAAAATGTTCTATCCCATAAACTAATAGTCCGACAGCTGTGAAATTTGTGTACGTGTCACTTGAAGGTTAGGGTTAACTGAACATCATATGGATTTAATACTAGTAGCGCCATCTATGTGTAAGCCTACGAACTTTTTAGCCCAACTAATATATCTCTCCTCGATTCAGTTTTCAAACTTGTTTCGATTTTTATCTAACCGTTTTTTCTTGTATCAGTGTTGTATTATTTGAAGTGTATTAATTTTCCTGTGCTTTATATTTAAAAATGTTTATATACAAATGTATAATAAAGATTAAACCCACTCAGAAAAGCTGCTATAAACAAATGAATTTTGTCTGCAACTATTGAAGTAGCCTGCTGGCTACAAGTTTATTCGACTCTCACTACCAATGCATCTTTTCAAAAGAAATAATCTTCAAAGTATTAGATGAGTATGTGGGCAACAGGTAATTCCTATTTTTACCTCGTGAGTTGTTGCAATTCATTCATTTTAGCGCTATTAACGAAGTCATTGATATATATGATACCAAATCAAAATAAATGTGACATTGTTATATCAGCTTTATTTATAAACTGCTAGGTAAGAAATATAAACGTCATTTAACCTTAAGACGGGCTTACTCTCGCGCAACATTAGTCATTTTCGATACCGCGAGAATAATTTCAACAGAAACGTACAAACATCCTTGAATTTTGATGTTCCCACAGAAGAAATTTTGTTTATGTGATTCACTCGATGGTGAAAGCAAGTAAAGTTCAACCTCGACCAATCCCTCTTCTGCTGTTTTAAAGTAGGTACATCAAAATGAGTGTTTCAAAGTTTTTTTTTATTGAAAAGGTATTGATTCATATTACGGTGTTCAATCCAAAAATTTAAAACCTACATAACCTTAAAATTTTCGCGAGAATTCATGCATGCAACCCTATCACCAACTCAATGATAAGAATGGAAATAGCTGTCTAGAGCGGCTGACAATTTATATTCCTTGCAATTTATGTACCTTGAGAAAATTCTGCAAGATGGCAGCACTGGCAGTGAGAATTCATCGAACCTCAAAACAAAAAAAAAAGGTTGAAATGATAAGTTTAAAATGCCTTGTTTTAGAGGTATTTTATGAAAACTACTTGATTTTCGTCAGTAAGAACATTCCCCATTCCAGCGTCTCATTAGATTAACCATTAAACATACTAAAAAATTCCTATGTTGCCAAATTTCATACGAATAAAAAACCCTTGAGGGTCTTGTTTAAACTACAAATCAATTTGAAAAACTTACATCAACTGGTTGAGGTCCAGTTATTCTCGACGAAGTGGGTGTTGTTACTGGTCTATTGTGGACACTTGGAGATCCCATATTTCTTATTGGGTTCGATCTCTGCTGAACCGACAACACCACTTGGGAAGACGCTGAAAAAAAAATAGTGGTATAGAAATTTTTCACCTAATAGGTAAATCGACAGATATTTTGTGGCGAAAAATAAACCTTTTCACTCGGTTATAGCCTATAAAGAATATTTTTCGTATAAAATTTTTATAAAATGACTTTTGAAGTTTTCACAAGTTGATGGCATCTGCGTATTGTAAAACGGGGCGGGAGAATTTTTGAAAGTTGTATTTTCCTGCAGCTCGGCAACACTGGGTAGCATTTTGTCTTCCTCTCTGAATCCTTAGTATAATTTTTTTTCAAGGACAGAACACAAGCACTACAGAAAAATCCTTGAGACGCTTTAAGAGCGGTGCCCGTGCGAAAGTAGCGATTAACATTGGATTTGAATCGCTGGCGATTGAATTTAGATTTCAATCATTGTCTTCAAACTAACAGAAGTTGCTTCACTCAAAATGTTCTATCCCATAAACTAATAGTCCGACAGCTGTGAAATTTGTACACGTGTNTAGTAGACAATGGAAGTCCGAACTAGTGAAATTCATCATGAAACATTGTCAATCACCTTCAAACAAATAAGGTTGGGTTAGGTCCAAAATGAGTGGGTCTATTCGACCCTCCTCCGCAACCCGCAAGGGTTCATTGTGGCTCACACCTATTCACACTCGACCAAATAAACCCAGCTTCTTGAAGAAGCCTATTAGTGTGTATGGTGAGTGGTCTCCCAGGTCAGATGATAAGAGTACGGCTCTGCCGAACTCTAAAAACCTGATTCAGTCCCCAGCGGGGCAGACACAAAGTATATGCTCTGCTGTTTCATCATGTTCCAGAGGCGACACACACTATCTTCACACAGTCTGCATATGATGATTCAAATGACAGTGACCTGTAAGAAGGCCTGTTAGACATCGTGAATAGACATTCATTACTCTTTACTATTAGAAAACAGTGTATATTTATTAATTTTCAAGAGTAATTGACGCTCATCAATTTGGATATTACGTCTACCCAGCTCGCCTTGTGAAGAATAGAACGTCAAGTTCTAATAAGATTCAATAAATTGAATGTACACACATATACGCTAATAAATATTCACTGTACACACAACGGTGTTTGGCCAGAAGTTTGTTAGTTTAAGGATAAACTTCGGTTTTACTTGGAACAGCAAAGATAAATAAAAGTTCGATATTCAAATGATAAAGAATTTTATTTTTAGTATATTTTGATTTCTCGGAAGTGATTTCATTTATTGGTGAAAATATAAAACTTCAAACAGCCGGTGCCAACGTACATATATATAGGGTCTCTCATTAAGCGTTTTCTATATTTAAATTTAAATGAAACAAAGTATGTGTGGGATATCATCGATTTTTTTTATCGTTTTAAACACCCATTGATGTCATTGTGGCTCATTTTGTTATACACCTACGACCTAAGAAAACCCCACATGAAATAGTCTAACAGGGTCAAATCATACGATCTCAGTGGTCAGTTCACATAACCAACCTCTACGTGAGACAGCGGGGGCTCGTCAGAGGAGGCAAGGCAGGCTTAGCCTCCCCATAAAATTTGAGGCTATTCATCGCAATAAATTAAAAGACATTAACAAATAATTATGATTATTTTTTTCTAAAAATGATTGGTTATCATTACTTTGCCTTTAATTTTTAATATAAATACATAATATGCCCGAAGAAACACTATCACTCACTACGTAGTACGTGCCATACTGTATCCTGCATCAACAAAACTCAAACGCACCGCCCATGAACGAATAACGAATAAACCATCAACCCGAAATAATAAATGCCATACGTTGCAAAGGAGCCAAGCCTCCGCTTTAAAAAACACAGGCTTCACGAGACCGATTCAACCAGCGACGTACGTCCCGATTTGTAATTTCAGTTGCAGAAATTATAGCGTTAGAGGAGGCTAGCCTCCAGGTGGTCTCCGTTAGTGTATGACTGCATTTGTTTTTTATTTAATTATTCGGACGGGATACCGGGACTGAAAAATATTTCGGTAAATAATTTTAGTGTTTCTTGATAATATTTGTTATTTGTGTATAAAACAGGCAGTATTGTATTATAGCAGTGCTTTTTGGTAATATTTTTAATGTGTTTTTAAAGTGTTTTCTTTCAATTTCAAGGTNTATAAAAAATTCATGAACATATTCTGAAAGCCCACATCAAGTGCCAATAGCAAAATGTGGACAGATTTTAAATATGTCTGCGAATAAAGAAGATATAGGCAAAACAATAATTTGGGATTTTTCGGTTTTACCTTTATATCTCCAGAACCAAAAGAGCTATATTCGATTTCTTCATATCATTGAATAGGTCTCTAAAATACGCAACTTCGCCATGATTTAACTGACACGTTATCTCTTATCATTTACGAGATCCACATGTACAGAAATGAATTTGAATAGCCCTGCAAATTTCTACTCAAATATGTGTAAATCATTAATCTTTCAATATCTATCAAAATATTCAATAGCCAGCGTTACTACGTGGTAGGAGATCCTCATAAAAAATGAGAAATAAAACGTGGAAAGAAACATAGAAAGTTTTATTTCACAATTTTCATAATATTTTATTGTTACTCTATATTAATATATCATGAGAATTAGACAACGCCAGTGTAAGAGGTTGTGACAGGAATTAAAATCCCATTAGCCTTGGACAACAAGGGACGACATGATAAGATAAAACATGTTTACATATATGTAAGGTTGTCCAAATATGGTTAAACATAGACCTACTTAAATTCTTGTTAGTGCCCTCTATAACTTTAGAACCCTTCAAATTATGGAGGCAACGGCGTATTATTTGTTGTACAAAAAAACCTTATTGACAGAGAACAATGGAATCTCACAGTTGCCTCTAAACAGAACAGATGGGAATGTCACAACACGAAGAACTAACTAACCGTTTTCTTAAATCATATCCAAGCTAGTCGGTTTAGATAATTTCTTGTTAAAAATTTGTTTCAATGATGAAGGTAACTCTTTTTCTAGCTGGCAATGAATGACAATATTTTTGATATTCTGGTGACGATGACTGGCATATTTATCCAATGAAATGGTAAAATTGACAACCCTAAAAACCGCAAATGTGAAGTTTAAGGCGTAGCCTATGATTGCTCGGTGTCTAACTGATAGGAATTAGTTTGTTAAAAGATTCAATAAAAATATCAATGTTTCTACTACCACAAGGATCAGTTTTGCGACCTTTCCAGTTTATGTTATACGTTATGTACATGTCGGAATAACACTTGCCTTATTATTTCATCACTACAAATCTGGATAACATCGGATGTCCACCAGTGAGAATGACAGTGTTTCATGTAAGTGAAATTTCACCTTTTTCATTTACTATGTTGTGTAGCAATCCTATGAATGATATCTGATCCAATTCCGTAACGGATGTTTGTAATAGAAACTGAATAGTGGGAAGCGTTTTTTAACGTTAAAAATACTAAAGCAATGATAATCACTACTAAATTCAAATATGAGCAAATAAATACAAACAACAAAAATATAAAAATGGAAGATGAACGTATAGAAATAGTAACATCAGTGAAGTATTTAGGATTTCAACTTCATAATTGCTTATCACTCAACGACCACTTCAAGTATAGTCTATCCATTCCCAATTGGAACGGCAATAAAAATAAGAGTGCAGTCATAAACATATCTTGCCTGTGGCCCCTAGTCGCCCAGATAGTTAGTAAACGTGCTATCAAATGTAGTTGAGGAATAAAGGCTCGGCTAGCTGGACTGACTGAATACTAATTTTTTGTCCGTTTCACAATATTTCCTTATAAGTGCCGTGTGTTCGTGGGGTTAGGTGAGGTAGTGAGTGGTTTTGCAAATCGATTTTTGAAA